CGAATTGAGTCTGGTTGAGTCTTGTTTGGTAGTTAGGTTATTAAATGTAAACCGGAATTAGGAGGTCTTGAGGATTCAACTATTGTTTGGATTGCTTGATGTTAAACGGTTAAATACATATATATATATATATATATATATATATATATATATATATATATATATTATAAAGTATGGATTATGTGATGAGTACGGGGGTCAGAGAAATCTGAGCTATCGATGTATATGAATACGGGGGTCAGAGAAATCTGAGCTATCCACGTATATGGGTGCAAGGGTTCGAAGACATCCGGGCTATCGACGCATATTGGAGTGCGGGGGCTCAAAGATGTTTGGGCTAGCGACGCATATTTGTTTGGTGCAGGGTGCAGAGATGTTTGCATATCGACGCATAGTTGTGGAGTGAGGGGGTTCAGAGATGTCTGGACTAGCGATGAAAATTATGATATTGTATATCCGTATGAGGAGAATGCGGGGTGTGTGGGCTAGCTATGTACCATCAGCGCATTGTTTGTTTTGTGTGATGTGTTAGGTATTATGTTTGTTCATGTTAGAGCTAAACTTCCATAGTAGGAGTTCTATTTTCTTAGTCAGTGATTTGCGTGTTTACCATCCCATACCTCAATGAGTGACTCCCATGTTTCTCACCCCTCTTTCTTCCTGTTGCAGGACTCCTAGTTGGATATCTGGATGGTTTGGTGTCTTGGGATCTTCGTATTTTATTTCAGTTTTATTTGACATTTGATTTGTATTAGATTGGTTTCTAAATTTGAAAATGATTTATCTCACTCCTATTTTATTCGGTTTTGAATAATTCGGTTTAATTCGGTATTTTACCGGTAGTAGCACGCCGTTCTCGAGAGAGGAGGAGACGGGTGTTACAGATGGGATGCGAGTTGATCTCCGGGGCAGATGCAGTGTGGTGACTTACACTAGCATAGAGGACTTGGTATAGAAAGCTGTTGTGCAAGAGAGGTGTATTGCTGAGGAGCAGAAACATTCCAAGGCAGCTCAGCCTAGGACTAGGAGGACTTCAGAGCCACATAAGAGGACTTGGGATCAGACTGGAGCACCTAATTGTGAGCGTTGTCGTCACCACCATTTTGGAGAGTGTTTTAAGTGCTTTAGTTTTGGGCAGTTCAGACACGTTGCTAGGAATTGTAGGAGTAGACTACCAGGTACGCAGGGTGCAGAAGCAGCAACACCAACAGCTCAAGCAACAACAACAGAAACAGCAGCTACAACAACTACGCTAGGACCTTGTTTCACTTGTGGTCAGATGGGCCATATCTCCAGGTTCTGCCCGACTAGGGGACCTGCGGCCAAGCGTACAGCCATCAGCCCATGAGTATTTGCTACATGAGGCAATGAGAGAGTGAGCCAACTGATGGTACGTTTCTTTTTACTTTCGTAGTTTCATTTGTGCATGTTGTCTTTTGTGGTTGTCGTGTGTAGTCAGGAAAGAAAAAGTGTATAAGATCAGTTCGGTCGAGTGTAAGAGTTTTCACCTTGTTTTTTATGAGAGGACCAATAGTTTAGAGAGTGATCGCAGCTGACCAACCATATTTCTAACATAGTTAAGTCGAATTGAAGGCATATTCCTTTTGCCAGCACATGAAGGATTGAAGCTATTAGGTACTCGCTATGATGTATCAGTTATACTCAGAGGGAGGGATGATTCATAGCACCAATAAAGGTTCAAGTGACGATGTTCAGGGGATGATGATCATGTTAGTCAAAGATTGCTATGGGAGAGACAGATTCAGCAAGAAGCATGAGATACCGAGATTTTGCTGATGGTTCATTATTTGGAGCTCTCTTTTTTTGTTTGATGTTCGGTCCATAATTTGAATTCGAGGACGAATTCCTCATTAGTGGGGAAGAATTATAACGACCCTAAACCTAGGATAGGCCCATTTTCTCTAGTAATTAAAACGTTTAAGTATTTTACTTTATCCCACATTGGAAGTTTAGAAAATTTACCACCCTTCTCTTTCCCTATATAATAAACTTCATCCTTCATTTTATTTCATCAAGTCAAAGCACCTAATTGTGAGCCAACTGGGGGCCAATTGTGAGCTATCGACGTATATGAGTATGGATTGATGTTAAATGGTTAAATACATATATACATATAAATATATATTATAAAGTATGGATTATGTGATGAGTACGGGGGTCAGAGAAATCTGAGCTATCGACGTATATGGGTGCGGGGGTTCGGAGATATCCGGGCTATCGACACATAATGGAGTGCGGGGGCTCAAAGACGTTTGGGCTAGCGACACATATTTGTTTGGTGCGGGGTGCAAAGACGTTTGCATATCGACGCATAGTTGTGGAGTGCGGGGGTTCAGAGATGTCTGGACTAGCGACGCAAATTATGATATCATATATCCGTATGAGGAGAATGCGAGGTGTGTGGGCTAACTATGTACCATCAACGCATTGTTTGTTTTGTGTGATGCGTTAGGGATTATGTTTGTTCATGTTAGAGCTAAACTTGCATAATGGGAGTTCTATTTTCTTAGTCAGTGATTTGCGTGTTTAGCATCCCATACCTTAATGAGTGACTTCCTTGTTACTCACCCTTCATTCTTTACCATTTCAGGTGAAACTGTCGAGCAAGTTTGATTCTATCGGATTGGTGCTTTTGGGTGTTTTCTTATTTTTTTTCAGACTAATGGATTCATGTTTTATCAATATTTTTGAGTGTTTATTTTATTTACTGGATTTATGGTATTAAGGCTGATTTTTGAGAAGTAAATAAATCGAGATTTTAGAGATTATTATTTATTATATTATTTGGAAAATGCGGGTGTTACAAAGACTCTGGTCATGTACATGTTCAATGGATTGAATGAACAATTTGATCACATCATCAACGTGATCAAGCATAAAATTTGCTTCCAATTTTGAAAAAGCAACGAACATGCTGGTGCTGAAGAGACTCGTCTGAAGAAACTTCATAAAGGATCATTCATTCATGTTGATCATGCAAACTCGTCAACAACTCTTGTGACTTCAGTAAATATCACATTAATATCAATAGGTTGACTAATGGTTTGGTAATTTAAAACGATTCTAGAAGAATGACACTCTCTCTTGTCCTTCTTCACCAAGCAACATAGTCAATAGATCGTTTGGTCAAACTTACCAAAACAAATGAGAAGACTAAAAATTACATTTCAACAAACACCCAAAAAACAAAGATGAAAAAGAGTTGGTTATAGAAAACGGTGATAAAGAGTGTTTGGTAGAAACGCAATATGTATAATATAGGTTAGACAAATGCGTCAAGCTTCTAGAACACATCATATTTAGATTCCAATAACAATAAGATGAAAAACTAATGAGAACAAGGTGAAGAAGATCTGAACCGCGTTGTCTGAAGACGGCGACTTATTCGTCTCTGATCTTAAATTATATATTTGAGAGATTCGCTTTGTTTCTGTTTGAGTTGACATTACTTGGTCCCATAAGAGTGGGTCCCGCTTGATCATCTTTGAATTACTTGATTTTATTTTTAGTGTACTATTCCCTCGTTCCTAAATAATCCATGTTTTATAATTTTTACACTTATTAAAAAAATATTTAAAATTTTGATAATAAATGTATTATTTTATTTGTTTAGCCATTTCGTATGATTTTTAACCAATCAAAATTCAGTAAACATAATTAATATTTTTGAAGTTTACAATTTACCATTATTACATACATTGAAAATGTAAAATATGAATCTTTTAGAAACAAAATTTTTTTTCTAAAATATGGATCATTTAGGAACGGAGGGAATATCATTATTACTTTATATCGAAGTAATGCTTCTTCTTCTGTGTATTCTCTCCATCGACAAGAAGACAAACATATGTACAACCTCCTTTTCTGTTAAATGTAAAAAAAAGTTAACTTATGTAACATATTCTTCCCGACCAATTCGATAGCAAACCACATATATAACCAATTAAAGACATCAATAATTGATAACAAAAATTCTTCCATTTGTCAAGGAAATGAATATCAATTTTCAAAGCACAAATTACATAAATCTTTAACTTTTTCAAGTATTGAAAATCTTTATATCTCAAATATTACCAAAACGTTAACCCAAAAAAATAAAAAAATTGCCAAAAAAACTTGTTGCTAACTGTTGTCACATACATAAGAAGAAATATATTGGCAAACTAGATGTATAACGCGAGACATGAAATGACACATACATCAACAACTGATAACATAAATTTATTCATTTGTAAAAGAAATCTCTTATACATTAAAGCGAAGCATTACAATATTTGAACATGGCAGTGTCGGCATAAAATCAATTTTTGAGATTCCTTAAAAAAGTAAATTGGTTCATGTAAATATAAATTACAGTTTTTATTAAATTAATTATAAAATTCCTTATTAATCTAAAAAAATGATTATTAATTCTTTCCATAAATAAAATATATGGAACTATCTAATATGATTACTATATATATATGGAAATTAATAATTTTTAATAATAATTATTTTCTAACAATTTAATACCGTTTATCTTTTTAAAAAAAACATTTGTTAATAAAATAAATTACACAATTATATTAACCATGTAAAATTTTTTTTGTGTGTATATGTTGTGTTTTGAATTTTTAAACAAATATAAATTACTGAAATGTGAAAACCTTCACATAAACTTTGTGATCAATGGTTTATATTTTTTGTTATAATAATATACATATGATTATAAAACCACATGAATAAGAAGTCTTATTTAATATGTGTTTATATTTATATATTTATATATATATCATTTAAATTAAACTATATACCATATATACATACTTATATTTTGATAAAATGCATTTAAAAATATTGAGACCTTAATATTTTAATTTTGAAATTTGCATAAAATGATTAAAGACATTCCTGACCTACTACAGGAACTGCGGATCCGGTTATCTCAACAGACCACCGCGTGCTATGGCTTTCCCCTCCAGTTGCTTGCTTTCAAAGCCATGCCTCAGCTCTTGGCTACAATTCCTGATGCAGCCAACACAAACACTTTTTTGGACGACCCTGAGGCTTATGCGGCCACTGAGGTTATCCTCAACACAAAAGACATTCTCGCTTTCGAGGCAGCACCAGATGTAAGATTCTCCTCTCTTGTTATTTGGCCAGCATTTATGCCATCTCTAATATTTTATTCATTTGGTCTTTTCTATCCCGCTCCCTAGGTTACCATACACTTCAGCCTCCTCCCTGAGCGGAGAGCCACCTGTGGTTGGACGAGGTGGAAGACTTCCAAGTAACTCGTTTGGTACAGTTACTTACTTCTGGCCATACATTTGCTTCTGAAGATTTCATAGGTGGTGACAAGTCTTTTCGTGCTCGAGGGAAACAACCCGAAAATGCCCCTCTTCCACTGGAAGTTAAAGATTAAGGTGTACCCATCATCCAGCATAATTTACGGCCACGTAAACCTGCGGCTGTTGTCGTCGAAGACCTAAAATCATCCGAACATAACAGACCCGAGGTCCCTCATCAATCAGGAAGTTGTCCAGACAAAGACTTCCAGATGTGGATTTTAGAGCAGCTTCAAAACATGTCCTCAGGGATCTACGCGCACATAGAAACTATGGAGAGATATATATGCTCTCGCTTAGGTGTGTCTCGCCTAACGTTCACAACACAAAAAAAAGGAAGGCGGAAGATGAATCTATGATTACTGATGGTATCCAAACGCAGCACCTCGCAAGTCAAGAAGAAAAAATTCAACTCATACTAAGCCTGCAACGAAAATACAATCCCATCCACTACGCTCTGTAGACGGCTTACAAGTACACCCAACTAAGCAAAGCAAAAAAAAATATAGGTCTGATTTGTTCTCTGTTCTAACCCCAAGATAATTCTCAGGGAAATATAGGACGCACACCACCGTACTTAAACAAGTAAACTAGAGATGCTAACGAAAGTGCCCATGATACTACTCCACCATTCGATAAACATGTGACCTATCAGGTTAATAGAGAGTGTTTAGGTTGATCAAAATGCTGTTATAAGTTTGGTGTGAATTTCTGAAAGTTGGTGTACGGTTTTCATACAGGAACCACGTACACCAAACGCTGCATCAGATGACTTTACTTCAGAAGACCGCGTCTTAACGGTCAGTGTTTACAATCCTCTTACTTTTTTTCGTCCATAATCCAACGTTTCACTAACCAAGGTGACTCTACTTTTGTATAGTTTGTTTCTACTTTGGTAGCATATCAGTGTTTCAATATTTTTTTTAACCTTTCTATGTTGACACTTCTTGCATAGTGTTATAAACCAATCCCCCTGTATAAGTGATTGGCCTTGACCCAAGCGCTTCCGTGATAAAAAAAAACTGTGAAGGTCACGTGGGAAGAAACAAACCCTCATGTCTACAACTCGGGGAAAGTAGTACCTGCCAGTGAGACTCCGATTCAGCAGCGTATCCGGACTCTGTCCAAAATTTACCATCCACCCGAACATCAGCTGATGTGGAACCTATTTCCAAAGACGTAAGTGCTACTAAAACACAGTCAGATGTTGCAGACGGCGCTGCACATGATTCGGTGGCCGTTGAGAACAAAAGATCCGCGGTTGAGGAGGAGGAGAAGTATGAAAGTTGCCAAGAAAACATCTCCATTGATACCCAGTTGCAAGAGAAACACCCTGGAACTGTACAAACCTTGGCTGATTCTGACACCGATGAGGACGACAATTCAGTGGAGAGTGCTGGTAAACGTCTGCACAAAAAATCACAGAAATTTTTTGGAGTGTACACCCCAGATGCAAGGTTGAAAGGGTTGTTCATGAGCGAGAAGAAGAATGAGTATAGGCCCCTACCCAAGACAAGTCGTGCTCTCTTTAAGAAGTTTAGCGATATTCTCAGTGAAAACCTCTTGCAGTAAGTTAGGGATGTAAATTAATGTTACAAACATATAGACATCCTGATCAGGCTTATTCCAAATAGTGTTACCTCTGTTATAATTTGCAGGCAGTTCGAAATCAAGACCTCTCACATTGTCACGAATTGTTTCTTCCTTGACATAGCTACACCCGGGAAATGGTTGTCGGACGAGGTATGCATATTTTTTACAACTTCTCTCAGTTTTAGTTTGTCTCATTAATTTTTACTGCTAATAATGCAACGCAACACATGCATGTGATAATGCAAATGTTGTGGAGGCGTCGTGGGAGTTTTCTGCAGAAAGAGCGGATGGTAATGTTCGATCCGTACTTTACAAGATCATTACCTCGAAATGGCCCGCTTTCATTGAAGCTGAGGATAAGTTGGATTTTGATTGGGGCACAAACATAGCAGCTTCTTTTACAGGAAAGAGTAAGGGAAAAAATCTTAAGTTGGAACTTGGTCATGATGTCGGATGGTGTATGCTCCAATGAATTGGGGGACATCTCATTGGGTTGGTCTTTGTATTAACTTGTGGACTTCTAACCTGACCATCCTTGATTCGTTCATCACTAGGAATCCAATTGAAGCGGATATTAATGTACAGATGACTCCTATTCTGAAGTCCTTACCATATATACTTGAGCAGTATGTCGGGTATACAGTGTGCGATGGTCCTATTACACTGGCAACCGACGACAAAAGAATGAGTTACTACGAATGCGAAGAGTATGCGGTCAGTAAGTTCAGTTATGAAGTTCAAAATCGTACATTAAATCAATATTTTGGGTTAAAACATGAAGATCACTATATTCTATCTTTCGGGATGATGGGTTACACATTCGGCATCGCTGTTTTGATGCTAATAAAGAAGAGCTGGAGGAGTTAAAGAAGAAAGTTTCTGAGGAGGCCAAAAGGCGAATGGATGTGGAAGACGAGATGAAGAAAATGCTTGAAGATATTAAACTTCTTAAGGAATTATATATCGAGATTAGAAATTCAGATTATAACTGTAACTTCTTAAGGAATTATGTATCGAGGTTAGAAAGTTGAGTTTTGACATGAAGATCACTATCTTATATATTCAGGATGATGGGTTACACAGTCGCCATCGCTGTTTTGATGCTATTGAAGAAGAGCTAGTGGAATTAAAGAAGGAAGTTGCTGAGGGGTCAAACAGCCGAATGAAGATGGAAGATGAGTTGAAGGAAATGCGTGAAGATATCAGGCTGCTAAAGGAATTATAGATGGATGGGTGTGTTGACTCATACTAATAAATGTTGTCATTGCTGTTATTGTCTCTCAAAATAATGTAGATGTTTTCAATAAACTTTGTTATGTATTTTTATCAACTTTGTTCTTTACTTTGTCCGTACACACCTGATATATATGTACCTGATGTACAAGAGGTGGTGTACAGACGAGACTCTGTACACTGTTGTTATGTACACCTTTTAATAATTATTATGTACACCATGAGATGATATCCCTAGTTTCATTGGTCATCTAGTGCCCGTGCATCATCCATCTCCCTTTCGTCTTTACACACTTGATATGGACAATCTAATGTATCTACCTGGTGTACAAGAGGTGGTGTAGAGTAAAAACTCTTTACACCATTAGTATGTACACCATTTTTTATTATAATAGTGCAATTTAGTTTAACTACTTTTTAATTTAACTATTTTTATTTAATGTAATTTAAGTTGGTGGATAGATAAATTTAAAATTTAAATATTTTTTATTTAATGTAATTTAGGTTGGTGGACCAATAACTTTTGAATTTAATTCACACGCCTTCTATCTGGAATTCTTCTATTTAACTTTGTATTGTCATTTTTTACCAAGTCAAGACAGTTAAAAAACCAATCCGAAAAGTCTATGGCAGCTCAAGTCCTCTCACATCTCCCCGACGAAATTGTCTTTAAAATCATCGCTCTTCTTGGAGAGGAGACATTCTTTTACCTGGGTAATTTCCTCCGGGCTGGGAAACGCGGTTACGGACTTGTTCACGAACCCTCTGTCTTAAGGATGTGCGATATTACACCAATGGTCCGTTAAGTCAAATCTGCAAAGGTAGTCAGTTTCGCGTGTTTTTCCTCAAGTGCATAAATGCAGGAAACGCAAACGCAATATGCTACGAAGGTCTCCACGCAGCAATATGCATAGGACTTGAGGAAAGTATTAAAATTTTGAAATCAAATGTGCGAACGCATGACTTATCAACTTTCGCTGTCGCCATTTTCAATGTATGTCTAGGCCGAGACAAGGAAGCCAGCAAAGTATTTCAGTTGTTCGAAGCCCATCACGCCAACCTCCATTCGGAAGGCGTTCTAGATATGGGAGACTCGATACAGTGGCTGCTGTCAACGTTCCATGCTCCGTGGTTTAATACATACGTTCATGCTTTCAAATTTCCCGACGATGATGTCATCATTCACCCAAAATGCCTTAATGGAGGAAACTTCAGGAACTTTTACGTCGGGGTGGACGGTTCCTGCGAGAACTGCAAGCTCTATTGGATGTGTCGTCGTGTTTGTCATATGCTGTAAAATATTCTTTTGTTGCGGTAACAGAACTTGGTCAACTTCAATACAACAAACTGTACGTGCTATCCATTAAGGTGTACGTAATTATCATCTTGGCGTACGTGTTGTTCTATCTGGAACTTAATTATCATCTTGGGTACGCGTTTTAGAAGTAGGTATACATTACTTAGACGAAGGTGTACATAGAGGCTACGGATTATTATGAAGGAACATTAAAGTGCAAATATAAGTACTTTAACCTAAATACTAAACCCTAAATATAAACCCTAAACCTGAACACTAATTCTAAACCCTAATCCCTAAACTAGAGAGTAAACACTAAATGTAAACCCAATCCCTAAACTAAACACTAAACACTAAATGTAAACCCTAAACCAACCCTAAATCTAAACACGTTCCATGCTCCGTGGCTTAATACATACGTTCATGCCTCAAAATTTCCCAACGATGATGTCATCATTCACCCAAAATGCCTTAATGGAGGCTTGATAGAATCCTTGATAGGATCGGATTCTTTTGCCCTTGAATCTTGAAAGTTGATAGATGGATTGATCGATTTGGTAATGGATGAATGATGATTGATGATCAATGGGGATGGATCCGTGGATGCTGGTAGAGATGGAAGGGGATTCTTCAGTTGCAGATCGATGGAAAGAAAACTTGCTCGATGTGTAAGTGATCAAAAGAATGATCTCTTTCGCAGATCACAAACAGAATTGTTGTTAGAGAATGAACTCTGTAGCAGATCAATGTTCAAAGATGAACAAGGGATTCACAACTGAGAAATTTTTTTGATAAAAAGAGTGAATCAATCAAACACAATTCGACAAGGTGTTTATGTAGAAGAAAACAGAAGACATAGCACTCTAAGACTTTGTGTAAAAATGAGAAAAGACTTCTAAAACTTATGTAAGACCAAAGACTGAATAAGTGTAGATTTTGACTTGGTTCTGGTCT